AAACATGTAGTTTTTTCATCTATGAAACAAGAATACTAGTATCAATCTCCTAGGGATTAAATAGAAAATGTATACAAAGTAATTTACATAACTTAATAAAGAAGAGTTATTCTTGTTATAACTTTGTAATGAAGTCATATCTTTATTCTGTTGTTTTCTGTTAAGATTTTCCTTCTGCGATCACAGGGTCAGGTACTCATCTATGGGGAGAAGTGTGTCTTCCTTGATGCTGATTATTCAGGAAAGGGATGTACCTTCAGTTGGGAAACTGTAATTTGACGGACCAGAGAAGTAATCATCTCCTTCTCATTTTCCTGCATCTAAAACTTAAGGAATCTAGACATGTTTAAGGCCCCTCCTGCTTGGTAAGATTTTAAAATGGCACGCTGGAAACCAGGAAGGGGCCACAAACTGAAATGATATATCACGTAAACTAGACCCCATGTCATATAGGCAGATTACAGTAGTGAAGAGTATAAAACCTAGATTCAGACCACCTCCTGTTGAAGCACTAGAAAAGCAAATTCTCCAAGTGGAAGCTAAGCCTCAGGAAGGAAGGTTGGGTTTGACCTCTAAGCACTCCTTCCTATGTTGAAAGTGGGGACTTGTTTAACTGAAAGACAGGGATGTCCTTGCAAGTTATTTAAACGTCTCAAAGCTTTCAGCTACATCTATTGAGTATCTTGAATGTGGACATTGTTATTTCTATTTTTATGAGTTAACTAATTTTCTATTCTTTTCTTTTCTTTTCTGAGACATGGTCTCTCTCTGTACCACAACTGGAGTGCAGTGGCGTGATCATAGCTCACTGCAGCCTTGAATTCCTGGGCTCAAGTAATCCTCCCTTCTCAGCCTCCCCTACAGGTGTGCACCATCTTGCCTGACTGAATTTTAATATTTTTTTGTAAGGATAAGGTCTTACTATGTTGCCCAGGCTTGTCTTAAATTCCTGGCCTCAAGCAATCCTCCCATATTGACCTCCCAAAACTCTACATTACAGATTTGAGTCACTGCACCCAACCTGTGAGTTAAAAAATGTTTAAAGAGATTGTATGAACTATCTAGGCTCATGAGGTCAGTATATGGTAATGTCCAGGGAAAATTCAGTTGCTTTTTAAAAAATTATTTTTAATCCAAGGAGATTTTAATTATCTCCATACTAAAGTAGATAGTAGATTTGGTGTGAAGATTTTTTTGACTGTCATTTTGCATTATCCACACCACTTACCTTTTCCACTTCACTGACATCATGTTAGGTAACTGAGTCAATTGTATTCAAAAGAAACATTTTCTATGTTCCTCATGGGCATGGTACTGATGCCTGTCTGGGCAGATTTAAGTCACTGTAAATCCAAGCATGCAAAAGGACATAACCTGCACATAGCCATCTGGCCCCATACAATAATTAATCAAACAAATGTCACTGTCAAAAACTCTATCCTTTTCTGATTTAGTCCTACATTTGTATGATATCTATGAGGGGGATTAAAAATAATTTTTTGATTTTGAATTTCTGAAAATCACTATGAGACACTTAGGTGAAAAAAATGCTTTAGTAGCATATAATATTACAAGCTATAGTTCAAAACCAAAACATACTCTTAGGAATAAAAATGGTGGTAGTTCATTTTCCATGGTCCAAAACAAGCTTTGATATTTTAAAAGAGATAAAATCATAATTTAATTAGAGGTCAGGTTTCTACAATCAAAGAGAGTTGAAAATTTAGTCTAATAATGGCAAAATGCTGATGGTTTGCTCATTGGCATCATGGACCTTTATTTTGTTATTTAGATACTCATTTTTGCCTCGTGGAAAGTTTTCCAGAATAACCATATATAAACATGTATGTCTGATCAGTTAATTTGGCAGTTGAAAAGTATGTATGAAGCACCTAATACATTTCCCAGTTAGGCTAGGTACTGTGGGTATATAAAAGGGCATACAAAAGTGTAGGCTCCTAGGCACACACCTGTAATACCATAATGGCTCACACCTGTAATACCAGCACTTTGGGAGGCCAAGGTGGGAGGATTGCTTGAACCCAGGAGTTCAAGACCAGCCTGAGCAACATAGTGAGATCTCAACTCTACAGAAAAATTAAAAAAACTAGTCAGGCATGGTGGCATGAGCCTGTAGTTCCAGCTACTAGGGAGGCTGAGGCGGGAGGATCGTTTGAGCTGTGATCATGTCACTTTATTCCAGCCTGGGCCACAGAGATTGTCTCCAAAAAAAGGAAGTAGTGTAGGCTCCTGTCTTCAAACCCATTGGAGTAGGTGGGTGGGTTAATTAATATACATTAATTTTTTTTGCCTCATCCAAATCTAGAGAAAATGTTTTAAATGTGCTGTAGGAGTTCAGAAAAGTAGAGATTAACGTGGTTTGGAACAATTTAAATAATAAAAGCTTTGCTGAATAATTAAAGTCAGTAAAAAATAAAAATATGGGAGGGGGTTGCAAGAAATCTGTTCAACTCTTAAAGTAATTTAGTTTTTATTTATAAATGTTTATGTAAGAATTCCATTTTAGACTGGGCGAGGTGGCTCGTGCCTATAATCCCAGCACTTTGGAAGGCTGAGACAAGAGGATCTTTTGAGGCCAGGAGTTTGAGATCAGGTTGGGCAACACAGTGAGAAACATCTCTACAAAAAAATAAAATTATCTGTGTGTGGTGGTGTACACCTGTAGTCCCAACTACTGAGGAGGCTGGGGTGGGAGGATTCTTTGAGCCCAGGAGTTTGAGGCTGTGGTGAGCTATGATTGCACTCCAGCCTGGATGATAGAGCAAGACCCTCTTTGAAAAAATTCATTTTATTAACATGAACTACCAATACTTAACACTGATATGAAAATATAATGCGAAAGGAAATCTGTCTTACTTGTAATAAGCCAACTGAATCTAGGTCTTTAAAAACGTCATTGAGAAGACTCCTGTATTAATTTTTAGGATAAATATATTATCTCAAACAGAAAAACGATTCTAGGCACTGGGAGTACATAAGTGAATAAAGCAGTCCGGTCCTCAAGAGCTTACAATCCGGTAGGTGGAAACAAGGAAATGAACAAAGGTACTGCAAATCAATGTGAGAGGCTCTATAAGTTATGGGGTCACAGAGGACAAGGTTGGAGAAGAATAGGTGACTTCAAGGAAGTTGTCTTGCAGGACAACAGGGAGAGGACAAGTGTGTGTCTAGGGAGGGTGAAAGTTGGGGCCGGGAGAAAAGAGGAAAAGACATTCCAGAGAAAGGAAACTGTCAACAACATAAGAAAAGTCACAGTGGATGAACAGCAAGCCTGAGACCAACCCGAGTTGGGGTGTCCTATGCTTATTTCAAAGACTTTCACTATATGGAGAGAAAGAGAGGCTTTAAAACAAATGAGACTATATTGGCTATGAAATTTAGATATAAATAAATGCCAATGATCACTTTTCTGTAATTTGGGGTTATAAGAATTTTTTAAATTTTTTTGAGGTTGAGTCTCACTTTGCTTTCCAGGCTGGAGTGCAGTGGCACACTTACTGCCACCCCAGCGTCCACATACTGGGCTCGGGCGATCCTTCCGTCTCAGCCTTCTGAGTAGCAGGAACTGCAGGCGCACGCTACCATGCCTGGCTAATTTTTGATGTGTTGTAGAGATGAGGTCTCGCCAAGTTGCCCTGGCTGGTCTTGAACCCCGGGACTCAGACAATCCACTCCCCTTGGCCTTCCAAAGTGCTGGGATTACAGGCGGAGCCACGGAGCCCGGATCTTTAAGAATTTACCGTACATAACTGTGTTCATTTTATAAAAGTATCTGTCTTCTAACATGAGTCATTTTGTGATGATTCAGTTGTTTATATTGAATTTCAAGTAGAATGCTGATCGCAAAACCAAACGAGTATCTTCTACGAAAAAAATTCGTATTTTAATAAAGGAGAATATAGTCAACTTATTTTAGGGTTTCCTGAGATTATAGGACCAGAATAAAAGGATCATTAAAACTCTGTTAATAAAATCATGAAATACTGATATCTTGCATTTTGAAGGTCTCCTAAAATTTACTTTATAACTAGCTTTATAACCAAGACGTTTAATTAGTACACATGTGCGCTGAAACGTCCTTTTGGTTTTAAAAATAGGTAGTCATTTGAACCACATCACTTAAAGCTCTTTTTAAAAAGAAAATATTCGAGTATGGTAAACATCCTTAAGATAGTTTCAAGAAAGCAGGATGTAAGACTTCCATTGTAATTTTAACCGGAGGTCATGTCAAATTTCACAACTAAGAACCTTTTAATGTATGTAACACTGAGCACAACACGGGCACGTTTTTGTTGCTAGGAGAACCTTCTATTTTGCATTAGGAGCTGCAGCCTTGACGACGCAGTGTTTGCGCCTGTTTTTGCACATATTTTTCGACAACTCTTCCTCTCCCCTCGTAATAATATTCGAAAGGCTCCGGTTTCCCCTTGCACCGGCCCAGTTTTTCCGTCTTAGCTCCAGTTGTCACAGGCTCGCGCTGTCGCTTTCTCTGGCAGAGGGCGGCGAGGGCTGGGCGAAAGAAAACCGGGAGGGCAGGCGCGGCCTCGCTGCAGCAGCCGGGCCGCTTTCCCGCGCGAGGCGGGCTGAGCAAGGGAGGGGGCGGAGGCCGGGCTGCGGGCAAGCTCCAGCACCCTCTGGGGAGCCGAGCCCTGCACCCAGCTCTCCGGCTGCTTCTAAAAATCTGCAGTCAAAAACAAAACTCCAGCAACGCCACGCTGTACAAACAGGACGGGAGGGGGTGAGGTGTGTGTGCTGTCCCCAGATGGATCAGAAAGAAGGGAACGCAGGGGCCTCCTAGGCCCAGGGAAGTCCAGGCTCCGACTTCGGCGCCGGAGGGAAAAGGCGAGCGGGCCCCGGGCGGCAGGACGGGGCTCCTGGCCTTCCGCCCGCGAGAGGGTCGTGGCGGGAAATGGGGACGGTGCGCGCGCTCGGGGCCGCCCCCGGCCCCCCCTTCCTCTAGGGTCTGCTTTCCCCCGGGATTCTGAGCGGCCCCTCCCAGCCGCGGGCACCGGAGGGGGCAAGGACGCCGTGACCGAGGCTAACGCTAGGCATCTCCCAGGCGACGGGCCCCGCAACAAGATGGCGGAAGAGAAAGAGAGGGAAGGTAAGGCGGGAGCGCCGAGGGAGCGGCTGCCCTCGCAGCCCGCCGCGACCCCAGGATGCACGAGGCGGCACTGGGTGGGGGCGGGCTGCCCTCCATCTTGAGCCCCCACCCGCAGGGAGGGGGTTTGCCTAGGGAGGGGCCCACCCTGCCGGGGAGGCCGCCCTGCCCGCGTCCCCGCAGCCCTCCCGGGCCCCAGTTTCAGCCCCGCCTG